AGATCATGAGTTCAATTCCCAGCAACCACATGGTGGCTCACAACCATCTCTGATGGGTCCTGATGTCCTCTTCTGGCATAAAGGTGTACATGCAGATAGCACTCATGCATAAAATAAAAGGAAATTTAAATAAATTAAGGGGCTTAGAGGAAACCAAGTTAGGAAAGGGACAGTGGGACCCCAGTTCATTCCTGGCTCCCTCTTTGCTTCCAAGACACCATTAGGTAAGCAATTTCTTTCACCACACACTTCCTGCCATAGGCACTTGCCTTGGCATAGGCAGAGACAACAGGACAGATTAAAATTTCTGAAACCATAAGCAAAGATAGGCCTTTCCCTCCTATACAAGCTGTTTATCTCAGTTATTGAGTCACAGTTTTGGAACACTATTAACACCAACAGAAACATATATTCAACCCAAATCATAGGATCTCTCTAAAATTAGAACCCTCTAATGATGTGCAAATGCTTACCTTTAATGTTCCATCAGCTGAACAACTAGCCAGTACCTCGTCATCTGGTGAGAACCTGCAGTGGTTGACTGAATTTGTGTGACCAAACATGGTATTTCGACATTCTTTTTGATTCAAATCCCAGAGCTATTTGGAAAGAAAAAAGGACAAGGAGAAACTAGTTAATACTGGAGCCTGGTGTGGTAAATACACATATAGTTCCAAACTTCAAAGGCTGAAACAGAAGGGTCACTTGGATTTCAAAAGTTCTAGACCAGCCCAAGCAAGTTAAAGGAGGAAGTGGAGACTGGGAAAGTGGCTTCAGAGAAAGTGAGGGGGAGATTTGGGTCTGTATATGTGAATCAAATGTCAAAGGATAGATTCTGAAATCTATACCAAATAGGTGCTAGAGAGCATTTGCTGCTCTCCCAGAAGACCCAAGTTCAGTTCCTTCCATCCACATCGGTAGCTCACAATAGCCTGTAACTCCAGCATCAGACAATTCAGGGACCTCTTCTCTGGCTCCCATGAGCACCCACACACAATGGCACACACCAAAAATTAAAATTAATTTAAAAAGAGAAAAATTAATCTAAGCTAAATGGGGAAAGAAAACAATCATACTAAGTTCTTCCTTTTCATTTGAGCTTTTTGGTTGTAGAATGATGTTCAATTCATAGTAACACAAAGGTGTCAAATACGAAGATAAACTTTGATTAGTAACAGGGCAACCTTTGGATCAACATCTCAATCCACTATGGACTTGAAGGCCTCAGGAGGCTTTTAGTCTGAACCCTAAATTAACAGTATGGTTTAGAATCATCATATTTAATTAGATACAAAAATCAATAAGCACTATGTAAATTATATTCATACTTTTAAATGCTAGGTTACAAAAATGGTCTAAGCAAAGTGTATTATTTCTAAGACTTCCCAAACCTTGAGATAACTAACTAGACTAAAAGCTATTAATGGCCTTAAACACATCAAAACCTTCAATGATACCAGAATATAGAAACTACAGGGACTGGAAGGTCAAGTCAAATAACACTTGAGTAAACCACCCAAGAAATCAGAGTGATACAGTCCATGAGACAAGTAATTCTATTTGTCTAGTAAACCAACAGCCTGAAAAGGAAATGCAAAAAAAAAAAAAAAAAGGAGTTTTGAACAGATTTGGATTCTGATTCTCTAATAAACCCACAGCAGAAAGCATGGGTTTGAGACCACATACGAGAAAATTGACATAGGCCAGGCGTGTAACAAAATTACAGTGCTCCACTGTTAGGTGTGGACATGGCTGGCACTTAATCTAACAGTAAAGCTGAAGTATTCTGGGTGAAATGACATATATAGGATTTGTTGTAAATTGCTCTAAATAAAAAGTCAAGTGTAGGATATAGATAAAGCCTGTATGAAATAGGTCAGTGAAATCTTATTTTTATTTTTTGCAGTGCTAAGATGGAAGCTGGGGCCCTGCAAATGCCAGGGGGCACACCTTATCCTTCTGAAAAGTTGTAAAATAGTAACTGTTTGAGACACAGTTTTACTCTGTAGCCTAGGCTATAGAACCCAGGCTCCTCCTAATTCACCATCCCAAGTGCTAAGATTATAGGGCTATGTCACCATAATCAACAGCCTGAGATTTTCTAAAATGTTTTACCTACACCTCCTAAAACTCTCATGTACCATTGTAAAAATGGTATGACACTGTGGACCAAAGGTTTGAAACAAAATTAATTTTTGAAAAAATCCAAAAGAAGATAGCATCTTTCTAGAACCCCAGAATATTTAATCTACCTATATTCATCCATTTAAAGAGAATACAAGATACAATCTTTGCTTGCCCCTGCCTATACCGTATGCCTTCTGCTTGAGGTGAGAGTGGGCTCTGCTCAGATCCAACTACTGGCATCGCCCCCTTGGAACCTCCTGGGCCTGTTCCTCATGTAGTGGACCCACCCCAGCAAGACAGACCACCCTGAGTCTGGCCACACCTCAGTCTTGGCACCCACCAAATAATCCAATTAAAACATGGGGCACAGAACTAAATAGATTATTCTCAATAGAGGAGTCTAAAATGGCCGAAAGACACTTAAGAAAGTGTTCAACATCCTTAGTCATCAGGAAAATGCAACTCAAAACAACTCTGAGATACCATCTTACACAGGCCAGAATGGCTAAAACCAAAAACACCAATGACAGTCTATGCTGGAGAGGCTGTGGAGAAAGAGGAACACTCCTCCATTACTGCTGGGAGTGCAAACTTTGGAAATCAGTATGGCAGCTTCTCAGGAAAGTGGGAATCAGTCTACCTCAAGATCCAGCAATTCCACTCTCGGGCATATACACAAAGGATGCACATTCATACAAGGACATATGTTCAACTATGTTCATAGCAGCATTGTTTGTAATTGCCAGAACCTGGAAGCAACCTAGATGCCCCTCAACCAAAGAATGGATGGAGAAAATGTGGTACATTTACACAATGGAATATTACTAAAAAATGGAAAATTACTCAACAAAAAAAAAAAAAAAAAATGAAATCTTGAAATTCGCAGGCAAATTCATGGATCTGGAAGAAAACATCCTGAGTGAAGTAACCCAATCACAGAAAGATAATCATGGTATGTACTCACCATATATGGACATTAGACATAGAGCAAAGGACTACCAGCCTACAATCCACACCGCCAGAGAAACTAGGAAACAAGGAGGACCCCAAAAGAAAAACACATGGTTCCCCGAAGAAGGGGAAAAGGACAAGAACCCCTGAGCAAAGTGGGAGCATGAGGGGAGAGTGAAGGGAAGTAGGAAAAGGAGAAGGGGAGAAGAGGAGGGTGGAGGAGAAAAGAGGGGTCAGGAAGACTGACACAGGGGAGGAATAGAGGAGAGCAAGAAAGGAGACACCTTGATAGAGGGAGCCAGTATAGGTTTAGAGACAGGTCTAGCACTAGGGAAATATTCAGGGATCCACAGGGATGACCCCAACTAAGAATCTAGGCAGTAGTGGAGAGGCTGCCTTTGATGTCCTTCCCCTATAATGAGATTGATGACTACCTTGGTTGCCATCCTAGAGCCTTCATCCAGTAGCTGGTCAAAGCAGACACAGGCACCCACAGCTAAACACTGAGCCATACTCCCGGAATCCAGTTGTAGAGAGGAAGGAGGGATGAGCAAAGGAACCAAGACTGTGCTGGAGAAACCCACAGAAACAGTTGACCTGATCTAGTGAGAGCACAGAGACCCTAGTCATAAAGCTGGGGAACCAGCATTGGACCGAACCAAGCCCTCTGATGTGGGTGCCAGCTGGGATGCCTGGGCAGTCTATGGGACCTCTAACAACAGTGGAGCCAGTCTTTATCCCTAGAGCATAAATGGACTTTGGGAGCCCATTCCCTATGGAGGGATACTATTGCAGCCCAGATACACGAAAGAGAGCCTAGGCCCTCCCAGAAATGATGTGAGAGACTTTGATGATTCACCGTGTAGGGCCTCACTATCCTTGGGGAGTGAGTGGGGGGTGGGCTTGGGGGTTTCGGTACAGGCATGAGAGGATGGGAGGGCGAGGGAATGGGGGGATTGATATGTAAAATAAGATTGTTTCCAAAAAAAAAAAAAGAGGGAAAAAAGATACAATCTTCTATAACCCAAGGACTTCATATTGCCAGCACTGCAGCTACACAACAATGAACCTGAATCAAGTGGGGTGAAGTAGGACTTTCTTAAAATTAATCTACAGGGCTGAAGAGATGGCTCAGAGGTTAAGAGCACTGACTGTTCTTCCAGAGGTCCTGAGTTCAATTCCCAGCAACCACATGGTTGCTCACAACCATCCTTTATCACATCTGGTGCCCTCTTCTGATGTGCAGATATACATGGAAGCAGAATGTTGTATACATAATAAATAAATAAAATCTTTAACAAAAAATTACATGTACAGCACGTAGGACAAGCTTCTCTTCCTCTGTGTTAGCAACTTTGAGACAAAGGAAACAAACCTGGAGCTGAGGTATCTCCTGTCATACAAAGGCAGTGTAACTGAACCACCAAAGAGGGCGGAGAGCAGAGACCTGAGAACACAGCTGACAAATCTGGAAAGCAACACGGGAACCCATGCTCATGGTAGACTTTTCAGTTACCTTATGAAACTTAGAATATGGGCATTTTTATCATTGCAACAATAACCCTGGAAGGAGCTGGGATGCAGCCCAGTGATAGAGCACCTGCTTAGCACATTATGAGGACCTGGGCCAATCCCTCACAGTAGAATGAAAAATAAATGAAATAAACATTTGGGTGCAGTGGTGGTGCACATCTATAATCCCAGCACTCGGGAGGCAGAGGCAAGCAGATATCTGTGAGTTTGAGGCCAGCCTGATCTACAAAGCGAGTTCCAGGACAGCCAGAGCTACGTAGTGAGACCCTGTCTCCAAAAAAGAGAAAAGAAGAAAACCACTTGAAAATAGAGTATATATGAGAAAATCATAGGAGACGGTCTGTGTGTGGAGTTCATCTGTCCAGTCTCAATGCCCACACTCACTTTGAGGAAGAAGTCATTTGAACCAGTGGCCAGGAGAAGGTGATTACTTTTGTTGGTGAAATGGCAGCAATTTACTTGCTCTGAGTGCTCATCATAGGTGTGTATTAGCTTCCCAGTCGCAGAATCCCAAATCTGAAGAGAATAAATGTGGTGATATATTATTTATGATTCATTAAAACTTGCCTGAATTTTCAGAAAGCAAAGCCAGTCACAAGCTATAGAAGTCAAGCAGCAGTGGTGATACACACCTTTAATCCCAGCAGCCATACTAGCTAGCCAGGCAGTGGTGGCACACACCTTTAATCCCAGGACTCAGGAGACAGGCAGATGGATCTCTCTGAGTTCAAGGCCACACTGGCCTACTAAAGAGTGAAAAGTAACAGAGCTCCCACCTTTGATCCCAGCACTTGGGATCACATGCCTTTAATCCCAATACTAGGGAGGTTGAGACAGGAGGATATAGCTGGGTGGAGAAAGGAGTATAAGGAGAAAGAGACAGGATCTGAGAGTGTTTTGCCCCTGAGGATAGTGGAGACAGGATTGCCATTTCAGCTTGGTAGAGGTAAGATCTACTGGCTTGACTGCTTTGTTTCTCTTATTTTCAGCTTGAATCTTGAACCTCAATACCAGTCTCTGGGTCTTTTTTTTTTTTTTTTTGTGTGTGTGTGTGTGTGTGTGTGTTACAAACAAAGAAAACAAAATGTATAAACATCTATTATTTTCAAGGGGAACACCGCAAGAATGAGCAAATGTACATCACTCTGCAGATGCTATCTCCTGTGAGGACAGACGTCCCCACTGAGCATGACACTAATGTGAATCTACTTCCTATTCTCTAAATATGGCAAAATTCTGCCTTACTTAAAAAAGTTAAGCACAAAGAGAGGCATCGTGGCATATGCCTTCAATTACTCCCAGCACTCGGGAGTCAGAGACAGGCAAATCTCCGTGAATTGCAGGCTAACCTGGTCTACACAGTGAGTCCAGGACAGTCAAGGCTACATTGTAAGACCCAATTTCAAAAACAAAAAAACAACAAATGTTAGCCACAAGATTTCCCATGTTTATATAAATGATGGCAGCACAGAAGTGGTGCCCAGGGGCTAGATCAGACTTTGTGTACCATCGGTGACACTGAAGCTCCCAACATCTAGTTCCCTATTTTTCTCTCATGCCACTTCTGCCTTTGTCAGAGCACTTAAGAGAATTATGAGAATCCCCAAGAGATTCAAAGAGTGTGTCTTTTTGAAGCTCTTTAGTGAGTATTGCTGCTTCCTTCTTTGTGTTTTCAGTCCTGAGAAACAGAAACTTGGTATATTCTCTTTTACTCTGTATCATTCTGACTTTAGAACTTGGAACTGCCCAGCATGGCTAATCTCAAATCACACAAAGTAGAAGTTACAGAATAAATAACTGTTGACTGGAACACCACTGAGCCTACCAAGGAAAGAGGGAAAGGGCAGGGGATCAGGAGGAATGGAAAGTGGACAAGGGAGAGTAATGGGGGTTAGAATACAAACATAATATGGAGAATGGGAGGCAAATTATGTACATACATGAAAATTTCATAATGAAAACCAGTATGTACAGTGAATGTATGCTAATAAAAAAATTTAAAAATAAGGTTTTACCAACATCTCAATTTTTGTCTAGACATCTCACTGTCCTCGTCGGTGGAATGAAAAACTTCCAAGCCAGCCTTTCTTGCCCACTCCATTTACCCAGATTCATTACTCTACAACTCTGTTGACAAAGCTTACAATAAAGTGGGACATGGTGGCATATGACTAATACCAGCACTTGGGACGCTAAAGCAGGAAGATTTTTACATGAGCTCATCACCAGTCTGGCTTACAAACTCAGACCCTGTCTCAACACTTGAAAATATAAAATAAACAGACACACACACACACACACACACACACACACACACACACACACACACACACACACTATAAAAAAAAAGGATTTGGGGTTAATGGTTAAGAGTACATAGTGCTCCTCCAAAAGATACAAGTTCAATTCCCAGCACCCACTTTAAGAGGCTGATAAGCATCTATTAACTCCAGCTCCATGGGACCAAACACCCTTTTCTGAACTCTGCAGGCATTGCATTTACATTTGTACAGACACACATGTACACATGATTAAACAAAAATAAATCTGAAAAAGAAGATGAACTGTTGCAATTTCAACTCAAGATGAAAATGTTTTCCTACCTCAATTTATTTTTATGTATGTGAGTATTTTGCCTGAATGCATGTATGTGCAAGCAGGCAGGTACACACAGTGTCCATAGCGTTTTCAAGGTGTGTGTCGGGTCCCCTGGAACTGGAGTTACAGGGGTTATGAGCTGCCATGTGGGTGCTCTGCAAAAGCAGTAAGTGCTCTTAAGACTGAGCCACTGCTCCAGCACTGTACCTTAACTTTTTTATCCACTGAGCAGGTTGCTATGTAGCTGTCATCTGAAGAGAATGCACAGCAAAGCACTTCATCTTCGTGAGCTTTGACTTCAATAAGCTTCTCTCCTGTCTCAGCTTTAAAGACCTGCGTAACAACAGTAAGATCTTTTTTACTATAAACCACTGACCTATAAGGCACCACTTATGAAAACACATCTCTGAAAGTTCTTAATCACTGTTATTTTCAAAGCAGATATGAAACTTAACAAAATAACTCAAAAATCAGAATTTGTTAAAATTCCTAAATGTAAGCATAAACAGAGAAGTATCTATTGTTAAGTGTTGCTAAATATCACTAAAAAGAAGTGGTGAAATATAGCTTCAGTTCTTGGAATTATATTGACAAATTCTAAACAATCAAATATGCTTTCTTTAGGGGCTCAAAAAAAAAAAATATCAAGGCTACATGCAGATCTAGCTTAGTAGTAGAGTGATTGCCCAACATGCATAAGACCCTGAGTTCAATCCCCAGCACTGTCACGGAAAATTTTTTAAGGCCAAAATTAATATAATTAGTAATCAAGTATTACAGAAAACTCATAACTGTATATGTATTCATACAGTTATGATCTTGGAAAAATTCAAATTATTCTAAATATGAAAGCTGTACTAACTTGATTCTGTTTTCTTCAATATGCAGGTGGAGAACAAATGTTGGCAGGGGAGGGTAACTCACTCATATTTTCCAAAAGCAAAATGAGAACTAAAGCACCTTTGGAAATAATTTAGTCTAATTCCCATTTACAGTCAGAAGTCTATGTCTTAGCCTTTGATGATCTGTTTAACCAGTGTTTCTCCAGCAGAGTTCTATTTGCTGATGGTATCTGCCTGTTAAGAACTGCTGTTTTCTCATTACCCATAACTGGCAAATGGATGTACTACCAAGATTAAGAGTCCCTCAGCATCCCTGGCAAGCCTGAAACTACTAAAGACATCTATATCTTTAATGTTCTGAAGAAAGCTTCTACAAATGTTTGGAGCTTTATGTTTCTTTACTTCTGAACTGCCACTTCCCTAAATTTTAGTATTTAAGCATAACCTAATCTGCACAAGTAGGCCACACGCCTTTCCAGCTTTTTCCAGTTTTTTTCCAAGTTTTGCACCTTACCTGTAAGGTTGTATCAGCTCCACAAGAAGCTATTCTCTGGCCGTCCTGAGAAAAGCATGCGTGGTAAACAGCATCTGTGTGGGGGCGGACAACTAAGCGGGAGAGATTCTTTATAGTTTTCTTGTTTCTAAATACAAGTGAAAAACGAGAAATTCAATGACTAAGGATAAAAGCAACGTTTTATTTCATTAAGTGTCTTTTAACATGGTTGTGTTTCTCCCAATTACAAAATTCTTGAATTACTTACATGCAAATGACAGTACAGAACACCTAAAGAAAAAAGGAATCCAACAAAAGTGACATTTCTTTTTTTTTTGGTTTTTCGAGACAGTGTTTCTCTGTCAGGATAGCTTTGGAGCCTATCCTGGCATTCGCTCTGGAGACCAGGCTAGCCTCGAACTCACAGAGATCCACCTGCCTCTGCCTCCCGAGGGCTGGGATTAAAGGCATGCACCACCAACACCCGGCCAAAAGTGACATTTCTAAGAGAAACACTATCTTAAATCAAGCAACCTGGCATATGGTACAAATGTCACTGACTTAAGAGAAATCTACACAAACAAACACATGCAACTTTATATTTTCCCTTTATAAAATTTTTTTTACTTATATGTGTTTTGTCTGCATGTACATCTGAGCACTGTGTACATGCAGTGACCACAAAGGTCAGAAAACAGCATCACATCCCCTGAAACTGAAGTTACAATGGTGGTTAGCCACCATTTGGGTACAAGGAACTAAACCAGGCCCTCTGCAGCAAGTGCTCTTAGTCATGGACCCCTCTCTCCAGCACCTCTATTTTCTACTGATACAATAATGTAATATGTGTAAGCATATCTTTTTAAAAAAAAAACACTTTTAAAATTAAAGAAAGCACTGCAGAATGAAAATCACACTACTTATGACACTCCACCCACCATTGTGATGATATACTTTTAAAATGTCTTCCTCTAACCCCACTCAATGGGGGTGGGAGGTGGGGACAGATAAAGCAATGTCATTTTCTTTCTATCTTAATTCTACAGAATGCCAACTATGACAGTAGAAGGGATATTATATTATATTATTGCCCACAAGCTCAGAGATAAAGAGTGTATATGCACTTAAAATAGGACCCATATTAGAGAAAAGCCAGACTATGAGCTTGTGTAGCAAACAATATACTTCACCAGAAGTAATAAGTAAGTACATTATGAGAATTAAAATTATGACAACCTGTAAGGACATATAAGCTACTTGCAAAGTTGGATGACTAGATTAAGAATATAATCTTTCCAGCTGAACGCAATGGCACACACTTGTAATCTCAGATACTTAGGAGCCAGTGTTCAAGCCCAGGCTGAACATCTAAACTGTCTTCAAAACAAAACAAAACCTGTCTTTCCTCTGGTCATCTACAGCTCCTCAAATCTAAGACAGTGACCTTCACAGACACAGAATACAAAGATAACATGAACAAACTACTTCTTTGAAAACTTAAACTCAAGTTTAAGCTTATGCCAATGTAAACCCTGTACAAGTGAAAAAGAAAAGGTTTCTAGCACTGATAGAAAGTGTTCTTTGGATATGGCCTGGTCCAATCTAGGTAAAGAAAAACACAGCTATAGCTGACTATGATATTCTATGATAGAGTGTCACAGCCTAGAATGTGGCTAGTGTATGGGGGAAAGAAGAAAAACACAGTAAACTAAATGTCTCAACAACTAAGGGAGAAAGTACTGAATCTCTGTCCATTTGATCAGATCAAGTGTTAAGAATCCATTTAAGGGCTAGAGAGATGGCTCAGAGGTTAAGAGCACTGACTGCTCTTCCAGAGGTCCTGAGTTCAATTCCCAGCAACCACATGGTGGCTCACAACCATCCGTGATGAGATCTGGTGCCCTCTTCTGGTATGCAGATATACATGGAAGCAGAATGTTGTATACATAATAAATAAAATCTTAAAAAAAAAAAAAAAAAGAATCCATTTAAAGAGTTGGAGATATGGTTCGGTTGTTAAAGTGCTTAACACCAAGCATGGAGACCATGGTCAAGACCCCAGAATGCACACATTGCCTAGCTAAAAACACATCTTTTTAAAAAAAAGATGAAGAATCAGGCTGAGGAAAACATATCAGCAAGATGACAGGATCCAAAGTCCATCTAAATGCTAGGTGGGCATGACAGCTCACCTACAATCCCAGCCTCAGAAGGCAGAGACAAACAGGAGATTTCTAGAGCAAGCTGCCAGCAGGATCAGCCATATCAGGGAGCCCTTGCTTTGACTGAGATACACTGCCTCAAAGGACAACCGTGGAAGATTCCTTACTTACACCTAGGTCTTCCACATCCATATGCTCACACACGCATACACACTGCACACATACTTACAAACATGTACACATTCATGGATGCACACCATATACATATAAATATGAAAAAGAAAAAGACTGGAAATGCTTTTTTTTTAAGAGCTATGGAAGAATTCAATTAAGTTCATTAAATAAAGTCTCTATGGCAAAGAAAAGTAAAGGTGACTTTATAGGCACTATCTCACTTAAATCTTCATAAAAGTAGTATTTACTGCCCGGGGAATTGGTGGCACACACCTTTAATCCCAGCCCTCAGGAGGCAGAGGCAGGTGGATCTCTGTGAGTTCGAGGCCAGCCTGGTCTCCAGAGCAAGTGTCAGGATAGGCTCCAAAGCTACACAGAGAAACCCTGTCTCAGAAAAAAAAAAAAAAAAAGTAGCATTTACCTCAAAGGGTCATTATCTCCATTTCACACATAAGAAAGTAAAGTATGCTATGTTCAAAAATCATAAAATGACAATGGTATAGTACGGAAACTCAAACCTATGTCTGTGGCTCCAAGTCTATGGTCATCACTACCACACTAGATTATAGTAGCATTTGATATTAATATTTAGAATACTCTGTCTGTCTGTTTTTAGTAACTGTAATGATGTAATTATTTTTTCCTATGTTCTCTGCAACTTTCCATCAAGCAGGAACAATTAGTGAGTTTCTAAGTAGTTAAATCTCAGAGTGTGTTTATTCACCACCAGGAAAAGAACAATTAATAATGGAGTCTGGTCTCTCCAGCAACTCACATCCACTCGAGGTAAAGCCTCCCACTATCCACCTCCTTCTTAGCCTTCAGCTTTGCTTGTTGATAAACTTCCGAAGTTTCTGGTTCACAGAGGCCCAGCTGTACAATATTGGGAAATGGCTGCCGTCCAAGAAGGTGTCCATTTAAAGATAAAAACTCTTGAAAATTCTCACAGACTGCACAGTCCTATGAACAAAGTGAAATCTGTTAGACACATAGCCAGAACCTTAAAGTGAAATATTCCCTACAGGAACTAAAATATAACAGCCAACCACTAGGCAATAAATATACAGTTATACAGTGAGCATGCATTCTCTGTCTCTGCCTTCTGGCTGTTTGTTACTCAATGTCTAAGCTCATTGTCTCAACATTTCAACATGTTAGCTCATAGTTACTGCTTCAGTGCTGTGCCTACCTACATGTCTGCATGCTCCTTGCCATGATGGTCATGGACACGACTTACTGAAACTGTATGCAAGCCCCAATTAATTGCTTTATAAGTTGCCTTAGTGTCTTTTCACAGCGATAGAAAAGTACTTAAGACAGAAGTTGCTACCAGGGACTGAGGTATTACAGGATAAGCCTGCCCATACTGGTTTGGAAGAAATATGGGAAGACAATGTGCCTTTGGACTAGAAAAGCTTAACTGTCCATCCTAGTAGAAGCTTGGAAGTCAGTAGTGCTGGGAGCAGTGTGGACTATGGAGGCCCAACTCAAGAGGTTTCAGAGTGGAACAATATTAGCAACTGGGTTAGATACTATTATTGTGATATTCTGGCAAAATTCTGGCAAGCTGTTTTCTTGCCTTGTTCTATGAATCTGCCTGAGGCTAAATTGAAGAATTTTGGACTAATTTCATTGACAGAGACTCCAAGAGTAAGCAGGGCAGAAAGAAATACTGGACCCAAAAATAAACAAATATGCAGTGGTCCTCTACTGACTTTAGAATCAGAGTAAAAACCTCATTATTGGGAGCTGGAGAGATGGTTCAGTGGTTAAGAACACTAGCTGGATATACCCAAAAGATGCAAATTCATACCACAAGGACATCTGTTCAACTCTGTTCATAGCAGCATTATTTGTAATAGCCAGAACGTGGAAACAACCTAGATGCCCCTCAGCTGAAGAATGGATAGAGAAAATGTGGTACATTTACACAATGGAATACTACTCAGATGGAAAAAAACAATGGAATCTTGAAATTCACAGGCAAATGGAAGGATCTAGAAGAAACCATCCTGAGCGAGGTAACCCAGTCACAAAAAGACAAACATGGTATGTACTCACTCACATATAGATTTTAGACATACAGCAAATGATTACCAGCCTACAATCCATACTGCCAGAGAAGCTAGGAAACAAGGAGGACCCTAAGAGAGACATGCATGGTCCCCCGGAGAAGGGGAAAGGGACGAGATCTCCTGAGAAAATTGGGAGCATGTGGGGAAGGGAGAATGAGCTAGGAAAAAGACAAGGGGAGAAGAGAAGGACATGAGGGAGCAGGAAGGTTGAGTGGGGAGGGGGGGAATAGAGGAGAGCAAGAAAAGAGATACCATCATAGAGGGAGCCATTATAGATTTAAAGAGAAACCTGGTACTAGGGAAATGTCCAGAGATCTACAAGGATGATATAAACTAACAATCTAAGCAATAGTGGAGAGGCTACCTTCAATGCCCTTCCCCTGATAATGAGATTGATGACTACCTTATATGCCATCCTAGAGCCTTCATCCAGTAGCTGATGGAAGCAGAAGCAGACACCAACAGCTAAACACTGAATTGAACTCCTGGAATCCAGTTGCAGAGAGGGAGGAATGATGAGCAAAGGGGTCAAGACCAGGCCAGTGAAACCCACAGAAACAGCTGACCTGAACAAGGGGGAGCTCATGGACCCCAGACGGATAGCTGGGAAACCAGCATAGGACTGATCCAGACCCCCTGAATGTGGGTGTCAGTGAGGAGGCCTCAGCAATTTATGGGGCCTCTGGCAGTAAATCAGTATTTATCCCTAGCATACGAATGGATTTTGGGAGCCCATTCCACATAGAGGGATACTCTCTCAGTCTAGAAACACGGGAATGGACCTAGGCTCTGCTCCAAATGATATGACAGACTTCAAATGATATGAAGATCCCCCATGGAAGGCCTCACCCTCCCTGGGGAGCAGAAAGGGGATGGGATAGGGAGTTCGTGGAGGGCAGGGGAGGAAGAGAGGGAGAGGGACCTGGGATTGGCAAGTAAAACAAGCTTGTTTCTGATTCAAATTTTAAAAAATAGAAAAAACAAAAACAAAACAAAAAACAAAAAACACTAGTTGGTCTTCCAGAGGACCTGAGTTCTCCCAAAACCCACATGGTGACTCACAATCATCTGTAATGAGATCTGGTGCCCTCTTCTGGCCTGCAAACAGAACACTATATATAATAAATAAATCTCATTATCACAGGGTATGGAGGCTCCACACTGTTAATCCCAGCACCCAGGATGTAGAGGCAGGAGGATCTCTGTGAGTTTGAGGCCAGCCTGGTCTATAGAGTGAGTTCCAGGACAGCCAGAGCTACATAGTGAGACCTTGTCTCAAATTTAAATAAATGAACAAACACTGAAAACCATTCTTCCCCAATTTTCAAACTTCAATTTCACCTGTATTCTCTGCAGGCCAGGAAGCAATTAACTAAAATCAAAAGTCACAACAAGAAAATGATCTCTATTGTGCTCATTCTCACCATTAAACTTAGAGATAAATGTCAAAGTGAAACATCCTTTAAATACTAAGTTTTCTTAGTGGCAGTGTCGCACGCCTTTGATCCCAGTACTCTGAGTTTGAGGCCAGCCTGGTCTACAGAGTGAGTTCCAAGGCAGCCAGGGCTACACAGAGAAACCCTATCTTGAAAATAAATAAATAAATACTAAGTTTTCAACCTAATATATACCTTTTCATCCAATATATGCCTGTATTCCACAAATTCATGAATGAGATGGGCAGGGCCAACAAGTTCTGTTTTTGCTTTAATCCAATCCAGGGAAAACATTAAAGCACAAAGTTCCTTAAAAAATAAAGAAAACATAATAAGATGGGGCACTGTTTTAAAAAAAATTCAGTTAGCACATCATTATCCTAACACTACTGAGAAACACTTGGCAAATATATAAAATTTAAGACCAGAGGAAAGATGGTAAAATGAACACATAATTCCAAAGAAATATAATGGGTCCCATTTCTTAACTCAAAATAAATCTCAGTTGAATAAATGATTTAAATACAAAACAGAAATTTTAAAAATACAAGAGATTAGGTAAATTCTTTTTGTAACTCTGGGGTAAAGGGGGTCTTTGCGATCATGAAACAAAACAAAACACAAACACATGTGCAATGCTGACATGTGCAAACATACACACATATACATACACAAACACATGTATGTTTAGATAAAAATCCAAATTAATATTCTGTACAGTAGAAAGCTTTATATACAAAACTTTTAAAAATATATGAATAAACATTACTGTATCACATAATAGAATAGGGCTTAAGTGATTCTTTATAGAAAAATCATAATGAAACAACAATACAAGATAAATGCCAGCAAGGAAAAAAATTAGATAAACCCTCAGATGTGGGATCAGATACCAATATTCTTAGCACTCAAGAAGCTGAGGCAGAAGGACAACAAAACTAAAGCTAGAATAGACTGCACAGAAAGACCTAGAATGGTAAAAGCAAAAAGAAAATAAGAGCCAATAATCAAATTTTCACCAGTAATCAAAGTGAAAGATTTACCACTTTTATAATGTTGAATTGCTAAGACTAAAGGAATGATAAGAATATTGGCTATAGTCAGGCAGTGGTAGCACACGCCTTTAATCCAAGCACTCAGGAGACAGAGGCAGGTGGATCTCTGCGTTTGAGGCCAGCTTGGTCTACAGAGTAAATTCCAGGATAGCCAGGACTACACAGAGAAATCCTGTCTTGAAAAACAAAACAAACAAACAAAAAAGAATATTGGCTATTATGAGACAAAATGAACACTTTCATCCACTAGTGGTAGTGATACAGTAGAGAACATTCTTCTACAGAGTGGTTTGGCAATCTGGATTCAACCAGTATATACTGTATTTTAAACAATCTGTTCCTCAACCAGTTTCCCAGTCTCAGTGTACCTTTAACAGTGACACAGTATGGGAGCTGGGGGAGATGACTCGGTGGTAAAGAGTCCTGTGCAAGCATGAGGACCTGAGCTTGATCCAGAACCCATGGGGAAAAGCCAGAGTGGGGTAGAGTTCTTGTGATCCTAGTACTGGGAAAGCAGAAACAGGCAGAGCCACAGGACTTGTTGGCCATTCAACCTAACCTACTTGTTAAGTCTCAGGCCCTACCTCAATTAATGAGAAACCCTACCTCAATTAAATAGATAGACAACATAGATACTTCCTGAGAAATAACACCCAAACAAAACCTGCTCTCCACATGTACACAGGTGCACAAGTATTTGAACACACACTTACATGCACACATGAGCACACAAAAGCAGTATGCAACTTTAAAAGCTGTATTACTCCAGAAAAATTACATGAAAAGACAACTACCAAATACAATTAAGTGGTAAAAAGCAATTTATAATATATTATGTCTATTATGATCCCTCTTTGCTTTTAAAAAAACAAGTGTCTAAGCAGAAAATGATCTAGAAAACAGTATATAAATTCATTGGCAATACTGTGGTCTTCACTGTCTTTATTGTAGATGTCTTCCAAACTCTTCCAAAGAAATTAAATCTCTACCTTTACAATCAGAATAAAGGCTAAAGAAAAAAAATTCTGTCACACTATCATATCTAACAAAATCTTTAAGAAATTGCACTGAGACAGGTGTGGTGGTGCACACTTTTAATCTTAGCTCTCGGGAGGCAGAGGCAGGTAGATCTCTTGAGTTCAAGGCCAGACTGGTCTACAGAGAGAGTTCCAGGACAGCCAGGGTTATACAAGGAAACCCTGTTTCAAATAAATAAATAAAAAGCAAGAAAAAAGAAAGAAAAAAATTTAACAAACTGGTTTTCAAAATGTTTCTTTTTTAATAATGTATCTTATTTATTCTTTAAAATTTTTCCTACATCTAAGCAATGTATCTTGATCATCTCCACTTCCCACTCCCTTTAGGTGTTCATAAACACATTTTCTTTCCTAACTTCTATCCTTTTTTTTTTTTTAATAACACACTAAATCCAATTAGTTCTGTCCATATGGGTATGATTATGGGCAACCCACTAGGGGAAAAGGCAACCTACCAATGGCCAAACCCCCAAAGAAAAGGGGTTCTTCCTCCCCTAGCAGTCATCAAATATCAATAGCTCCTCAATTAGGAGTGGGACCTCATTAGACTCTCCCCACTCTGAATTTTGTTTTGTTTTGTTTTGTTTTGCTTGTCAAGACAGAGCTTCTGTCACAGCCCTAGATGTCCTGGAACTAGCTCTGTAGACCAGGCTGGCTTCAAACTCCCAGAGATCTTCCTGCCTCTACCTCCCAAGAACTGGGATTAAAGGCATACGCCACCACTACGCAGCTCTGAGCTGGAATTTTTAAATAGCTTGATCTATGCAGGCTTTATGAAGGCAATAGTCATGTCATATCTAACAGACAGCATTACATAGTATAGCTGGTAGTCATGACTTCAAATCCCATGTGTGTATAGATTCGCAGTTTTTATCTTTTGTCCATAATTCTCAGAATTCCACATGTATTTATCTAACAGCTTACTCAATATCTGCAGATGTCTTAGTAGGTCGGTATATTAGGATTAAGATTATCAATGTCAATTCCTAACCGTCTCCTTTTCAATTGCATATTTCATATCACAGCAACTGCAGTCTTTCCACTGTACATGCTTGTAGTCATCTTTGATTCTTCTTTCTGTTGTAACGCACAGCAAATCCACCAGCAAATCATGGGTATTCCCTTTATTGTCCCTTCCTTCTTTTCTCTGATTTTCTCATTGTCTTACTATGAATGTATTGTTTCTCTTCCTCATTGTCTGTTAAATGAGAGCAGATATTCTGTCTACGGTTTAGACTCATAATGAAGAACAATACCATTGTCTAACAAGTACTCAGTAAGTACCCGATGGATGAATGAATGACTGTCCTTTCCTACCCTCCATCTCTACATAAAGCTTATAAACAAATCCACACTGCAAACAATGAGGAGCTACAGTTAAGAGGATAAACTGATTCACTTGCTGCAGTCACTAAGATACCTTTTTTTTAAATCACAAGAAAAAATGGAAAAAATCTTAGACATATTTTTCACTACTTATAAAAAAAGTAAAGGGCTGGCAAGATGGCTTAGAGGGTAAAGGTGCTTGCCACCAAACCTGTCAACCTAAATCCACTCCCAAACACACTATCACAGAAGCAGATATTCAGCTCCCACAAGCTCTCCTCTGATTTCCACATGCACACCATGCCATGCATATATCCACACACATAAACATACAAATAAATAAGTAAATTAATAAATGATTGTTTTAATTCTAGTAGGATAAAGCACGACACCAAAGAAAAATTTTACATAGCACTTAACTATGTGAAATTCAAATATTCAGTAAAATAGAAAGTAATAGCAATAACTATTAAGAAATAACTCAAGGGAGAGTTAATAGAAATGGCTTAGTGGTTAAGAGAACTTGCTGTTCTTGCAGAAGACCAGGTTCTGCTCCCAGCACCCACATCAGGCAGCTCACGACCATTTGTAACTCCAGTTCCAGGGGCCTGGCACACACAAGGTGCACATACATACATGTAGCCAAAATACTCATACACATAAAATAAAAATAACCAAATTTTTTTTGTTTTTTTTTTTGTTTTTTTGAGACAGAGTTTCTCTGTGGCTTTGGAGGCTGTCCTGGAACTAACTCTTGTAGACCAAGGCTGGTCTCAAACTCACAGAGATCTGCCTCCCTCTGCCTCCTGAATGCTGGGACTAAAGGCGTGCGCCACCACCGCCCAGCTAAACAAAATCTTTAAGAAAGATACATAAATAAACCCAAGGGGGAAAAAACATTTACTCATATGGAAAAGTGAAATGAAATAAAAGAATTTTCAAATTGTCGTCTTACTTTGTGCATATTGGCACTGGCCATGTGATACGCTAGGAAGTTGTACCAATACATGCAGTCCTCCTGATCTGGAGATAGAGTATTTGGCTGGTAATACCTCTGAAACTGAGTGACCATCTTCCTATGTAGATCCTGAAACACAAATCAAGCATGTCAGAAGACACAAACAATATAACCTGACTAGCACAGTATCTCCATTTCTAAAGCAATAAAGAAAATCTCCCTGACAAACTAGTGACCAAGGGGAAAGTTAGTAGTTTTACAGTGGAGAAATCAAGTAAATACCCCTTTAACCAAATAATCAACATCTACATTATCCATAAGATACATCAACCTCAATCCCTGATAGCGTATGAGAAAAGCACAGTATCATTTCTGTGTAATTCCTTTAAAAAAAAAAAAAAAAAGAGCCAGGAGGTCATGGTGGCGCACTCAGGAAGGAGGCAGAGGCAGGCGGATCTCTGTGAGTTCGAGGCCAGCCTGGTCTACAGCGTGAGCTCCAGGACAACAAAGGCTACACAGACAAACCCTGTCTACATAATAATACATACAAATATATAAATACATAATACATAATAAATAAAAAAATAAATAAATAAAAAGTAAAATTATATGTGAGGAGATTTAAGTACCTGAAGCTGACTTCGATTCTTCTCTGTAAGAAAATCTACTTGAAGATCATGTAAGTAATAACAAAATGACTTTCCATTCCGATCACAGAATAAGAGAGACTTATTAACAAACTCCTGTAGTATGTCTTCAACTTCCTCAGTTTCCAAGTCCCAGAGAACACATAACACCTAGGAACCATTTTAAGAATTTAGTATACCACAAAAGTATAATAAGTAGTAAGTACTATAGATAAAGTATTTTAACTAAGACATATGACTTTAAAGCCCTAAATAAGAATGTCTCCACATCTAGGCAGAGCTTGGGGAATCCTGTCGAAGAGGGGGGGGAAGGATTGTAGGAGCCAGAGGGGTCAAGGGTACCACAAGAACAAGGACCACAGAATCAACTAACCAGGGTTCATAAGGGTTCACATAGACTGAACCAACAACCAGAGAGCCTGCAGGGAGCTGCCCTAGGTCCTCTGCATATACACAATGGTTGTGGAGCTTAGTGTTCTTGTAGGAAGCAGGAGGTATCTCTGACTCTTTCGCCTGCTCTAGGGAACTTTTTCCTCATACTGGGTTTCCTTGTCCAGTCTTGATATGACGGTATGTACCTAGCCTTATTGTAACTTGATGTGCCCTGTTTGGTTGATGTCCTTGGGAGGCCTGCTCTTTTCTGAAGGGAAATGGAGGAGGAATGGATCTGGGGGAGAGGAGAGGTGGGGTGGAAGAGACTAGGAGGAGAGGAAGGAGGGGAAACTTCAGTCAGGATGTAATATATGAGAGAAGAATAAATTTTAAACTTTTTAAAAAAGAATGTCTCCATAGCTTAAGTTCAGTTAGTTCTCAAAACAAAAGGTGAAACTGGATGCCTCTCTGACTTCTCTAGAACCACTGAAAACAACTCGAAAGCTCAACATCAAGCCTTTTATGGGGACTAAAAAAGCAAAGGGACTTTGGTACCATCACCTACTACCTCAGTACAATTATCAAAGTTCACATGCCATAAATAGCCAACGATAAGGAGTGTTGGTCAGTCCATTACCTTTGTAGGGACCTTGACATCCTTCTGCAGGATGGAAAGGTCTGTGTAATAATCTTTGATATCTTCTCTGAGCATTTCAACACTTATAGACATGGCTTCATCCAGAGCCTCATAATCGTAAGAGGAAGATTTCCTTATTCTCTTAAACTGCTTATTCTGAAGTTGTCTGAGGTAGTACGCCCAGCGATTGGGAAAATCACGTAAAAGTGCACCAATTAAGGACACTACGAGAGGAGAACCTGGGAGAAACTGATTATGTTAGTATCATCTTATTTTAAAGTCACCACTCAACAATTTAAAGTTTTTTAGTATCCCCCCAAGTGTGTGTATGGAGGCAAGTGTGAGAATGTGTCTGGGTACGGGTGGGAGGGTAGTGGGGGAGTGAGGAGTAGGGGGGTGTGGATGGGTGTGGGTTGGTATGAGGTGTGAAGGTCAGAGGACAACTGGTAGGAGCCAGTTCTGTCCTTCCATGCAGACTCTGAGGATGAAACTCAGGTCACCAGGCTTGACAGCAAACATCTTTACCAACTAAACTATCTCACCAACACAAGAAACAATTTTCAGTGCAAGTTACTCAAGGCCTTAGAACATTTCTAACTCCTGGGTCACTTTACTTCAAGGTATGTCCTTTAAGCAAGGCATTAGCATAAGACAGATTTCACTTACAGATACTCACTAAAACATCATTTGCTCAGTTTATTTGCATTATTCTTTTTGCCCAGTCCCTTTGCTACATGGCTATCCAATCAGCCACACCTGATTGGAAGTTCAGAGAGGACTGTAGAGGCTGAACACATGGAAGACCTCCTGAAAGGTGCCACAGTGAAGGTGACACTGGAAGCTCTACCCTCCTTCCCCAAAACCCATCAGTGTCCTCTCATCAGTGTCTTTGTATCACCCTCTATAAGGCATTAAATCTATGTCCCTGACCACATTTGAGGAGGGGTTGTAGCTGCTGGGTCAGAAGCATGGGTACAACAACCTGAAGCCTGATAGCTGGCATCTCAATCTGGAAGGAGAGAGAGGTAGTCATGGGACTCAATTCTTCAACCTGTAGGATGGACACTTTTCCCATGTAAACCATTTAAGAATTAAATAAAAGGACATGTGGTGACAGAGTGATCTATGCTGTCAAAATTCAGTAAGAGAAACTAAGTCTGAGATTATGGTTTTTGCTTCCCTCTATGTTCTTGGAACAAATAAAAACTTGAAGTTGGCAGACAACAGCATTTACTTACCAAACTTAAACATTAATTTTATAAAATTCCAAACAAAATAATTTTTAAATGATGTTCATATTTTTCACCATTGGATAGTAAAAGTCTTAACTTCATTTCCTCTTTCTCATTAACATACTCGTTAACACATGGTGGGTACAAGTAACATTATTATAAAGAATTAATTAATACCAAGTATATTCACTTGAGGTATGAGAGGTCCCTAAAATGTTAAGTGCCATAAAACAAGTCTGGGTGTTCATTGCTAAATTAGCATATTGACCAGCTTACTTTATAAGGAGAACATCAGTATTTCCACAACCTCCCCTCATACATAGTCAGTAGCCATACCTTTGCACTCTTTTATAATACTGTGAGCCTCCACGGGCAAATCCTCTTTCTTCATGTTAACAAAAAGTGATAAGATTTCAAGTCCTTTCTCTTTCCCTAGACCACTCTCCACAGAGACAACATACTTAGGACCTGAACAAAAGTGTAACACAAAGTAAAAAATTTGTTATGTCACATATGTACATGTGCTGAATGAAACAATGCCTTTTAATTTAAGGTCTTACTATAGTATTAAGAAGTAAATCAAAAAGCCTCACCCATCACTGAGTCTGTAACACTCTTATCTCTGGTTGTAAGAAGAATATGACACTGGTTGTCAAAAGCTTTTAACACCCAAGGATCCCAAACATCATCCAAGATCAACAGAGACCTAAGTGAAAAAAACAAAATAAAATCATGCTGGGCAGTGGTGGTGCATGCCTTTAATCTCAACACTCAGAAGACTGAGGCAGGTGGATCTCTGATTTTAAGGCCAGTCTGGTCCACAAAGCAAGTTCTAGGACAGCCAGGGCTATGAAGAAACTGTGCCTCAAAAAAAACAAAACAAATCATTAATGACTCTCATTTTACACTTCCTTTAAAAAGAAATTCTAAGACAAGAGTAAGATGGCAGACTAGAAGTTTCTTCCATGTGTCTCCATGAACAAGAAGTGTCAGAATAGCAAATAGTTCCAAGACAAAAAGAAAGGAAAAGCATGAGAAATTGTTGTGGTTTGATAAAATTGGCCCCCACAGGGCTCCATGTATTTGCATACTTAGTCCCCAGTTGAACTGTTTAGAAGAATTAGGAGGTGTGACCTTTTGGTGGAGGTGTGTTACTAGGAGTGGACTTTGAGGTTTCAAAAGCCCATGCTGACTGATGCCTATGGATCAGGATGTAAAGCTCTCAGCTACTCCTCCTGTACCATGCCTGTCTGCTTCCTGCCATGATGATAATGGACTGACCCTTTGAAACTGGAAGTAAGCTCCAATTAAATGGTTTCTTTTATAAGAGGTACACTGGTTAGGATGTCATGATGTCTCTTCACAGCCAAGCAGGAAGTATAGATGGGGCTATGAGACAAGGAGAATTCTGGGGAAGAGGACACAGAGAGAGAGGATTCAGGGGAGACACCATGCTGCCAAAGGAGTAACATGCCGGATTATGGATAAGCCACAGCCTCGTGGCAATACACAGTTTAATAGAAATGGGTTAATAATTAAGAGAGATACCCAGTAAGAAGCCTAAGCCATTGGCCTAACAGCTTCCAATTATTATAATAAGTCTCTGTGAATTTATTTGAGCTAAACGGCTGTGGGACCAGGTGAGAAAGAAACTCCATCAACATAGAATAGTAACTAAGTCAAGGTTGGCAACTATACAAAAATAAGTAAATAAAAGTATGCATGCACATACATACACAAAATACACAAAATTTAACTTAAAAAAAAAAAAAAAAAAGGCTCTGCAGTTAAAAGAACTGGCCACTCTTACAGAGGAGTCAGGTTTGGCTCCCAGAACTCATTGGGTGGCTAACAACAGTCTGAAATTCCAGTTCCAGGGGATCCAATGCCCTCTTCTAGCTTCCACAGGCACCAAGCATAGATATGTTGTACATACATATTACAGACAAAATACTAATACACAAAAACAATAAAAAATAGTCTTTTTACCCAACAGAAAAACAGGTTAACACAAAGAAAAAAAAAAAAATAGGAAACAGTCCACACAGCTTCCTAGGCAGGAGAGGAAACAGAGCACAAGGTAGGCCAGAGAGTCCTCTGAACAAAAAAGCCTGGAAATCCCAGACTCAAGAGAAGCCCACGGTTTTCCCAAGCCTGAAAAGTGGTGTAGGAATTTGGTATAACAGCAACACTTCCTACATGGCAGGCAAGCACTGAAAAAATTAATCCTATCACCCCTCATAACTTTGAATGTTTACAGCCAGGTGCTCTCTCAAGAGACTGAGTTACTCTGGGTACTGGTAAACAAAAAGCCAGCAAGCTGAGGGATGCCCTGTCACAGGGTCTGGGTGGGAGATGACCATAAGAGGTAGTTGTGAAGAGGGAGAGAGTCAGACATGAACTCCATGGGAAGTCTAAGCAGTGGGGAGCTCCGACTATGGAGAAGTCGTGGTCAGTGGCTCTACCACCTATAGACAGGCAGGAGCCCAGCCTTTAATCCCAGCACTCGGGAGGCAGAGGCAGGCGGATCTGTGAGTTCAAGCCCAGCCTGGTCTACAAGAGCTAGTTCCAGGACAGCCTCCAAAGCCACAGATAAACCCTGTCTCAAAAAACCCAAAAGAGAAAAAAGAAGGAAAAAAGGGAGGGAGGGAAGGAGGGAAGAAGGGAGGGAGGAAGGAAGGGAGGGAGGGAGGGAGACAGGGGAGACAGGGAGGGAGGAGAGAGCGAGCGAGCCCAGGGCCTGTGGGTTACTGAGGAGATTGAGAGCAGACAGGAGTCAGAGTCTGCCTAAGTATCCAGAGCTGACTCTTTGCTATCTGTGATTTGCTGCCTCTCAAGTGTTAGGATTAATGGCATGTACCACCATGCCCAGCTTCTTGCTACTTTTTGAAATCAGTTTTGTCCAATTATTTATTTATTTTATCTGTCTGTGTACATTTTTAAATTTATCTATTTATGTATCAGTTATGTGTTTGTATACATCACATGCACATGCCACAGCATGCACATACAAGTCAGAGGACAACGTTCAGTTGTCCAAGGAGTCAGTTCTCTCCTTCCAGTATGTAAGATCTAGGGCTCAAACTCAGGTTGTCAAGCTGGGCAGCAAGCTGCCTTTCCCACTGAGCCAAAACCCCTGTCTCTGTGTTACATTTGTCTTTGTTTTGATACAGAGTCTCACTATGTAGTCTACCCTATCCTCAAACTCCCATTCCTCCTTCCTCTGTTCCTAACTCCTGGGATTACAAGTGTGCATCACAACACCCGGACCTGGCTGAGTTATTCCAAAAGACTGAGCTTTAAGCCCAGCAATTCTTCCTTCTGCTTGATCCAGTTAGAGATTCTCAATAGTATTTTAATCATTTTATTGACTTCACTGGGTTCAATACCATCATCTCCTATCATTAAATTTCTCATATCTCACTGGGTTCCCTTAAAAATCATTATTTTTAATTAATTTTCAGGAATTTATCAATTTATTTTTCTTCTAGGTCTGTTGCTAAAAAAAAACTGTTATATCCCTTAGGAAACATCATGCTCTTTCATGGTTTTTGTGCCCCTAAGTTGATATTTGTGCCTCCAGTAGTTCATCTGCCTCTACTATTACAATAAAACACTTTCTTGTCAGTGCTAACCAGGTGGGCTATGTTGACTCTAGTTCCATGTGGGTGTAATAACATAATGTGTGTACAATTTCTCCAGCTATATTCAAAATCTGGACAAAATCTGTGGGTATCTCTATAACAAAGGTTATAAGGGTATGATAATTTGAATGAAAATGGTCCCTACAGGCTCATATGAGTGCATACTTGATACACAGTTGGTGGAATTGTTTGTGAAGGATTAAGAGGTGTGGCCTTGGGCAGGTGATCATTGGAGGCCACCTGTGGGGTTTCAAATTGTAAATCCCAGTGCGCCTCTGCTGCCTATTTGTGGTTCACCAGGTGTGCCCTTGGCTGTTCCTGCTGTCATGCCTTTACTCTACCATCATGGACTCTAACTTTCTGAAACTGTAAGCCCAAAATAAACTTACTTCTATAAATAGCCTTGATCATGTTGTTTTATCACAGAATAGAAAAGTAACTAAGACAAGAGTTTATGTGGTTGTTCCACCAAGTGAGATACAGCAGAATCGATAAGACCATTTGGATCTGCTAGACACTAGCCTAGCCAAATAGACCACAAGCTGCAGGTTCTGTAAGTCACCCACCACTGCCTCGGACCTCCTTAGGTGCAAACATGGGTGCATATGCACATACATACATACACCACACACAGTTCTCATGCCAGAGGGATGATTCAGACCTGAGTTCAATTCCCATAATCCATGATAGAAATAAAGAACCAACTCCTGAAAGCTGTCTTCTAACCCATATACAAGTTACACACACACACACACACACACACACACACACACACACACTGAATTTTAAAATAAAATAAATCCTTTTAGCTAAGGGATACACAGCAAAGTGGTAGAACACTTGCCTACCATGGATGAAGCCTTGGGTTCAATCCCCAACCACACAAAAATAAGAAATCCTACCTTCTTTCCTTTCTCAGTCTTTACCTTAGTTGCTTAGATTTTTTTTTTCTTATTCTAGGTTTATCCAGTAGAAACAATTTATTCAAACCAAGAAGTCTGTATTTTCTAACAAAAACCACTCACCAACTACAAATTGTATTTTTCAAAACCCTACAATGGCATATAGGAGGCAATACAATAAATAAGATGTAAAACGAGCAATTTAGACCAAGTGACAGCCACTTTCTTTTTTAAAAATACAAGAGAGAACAGCAGGAAAGCAATGCCTCTCGGAAAATAGCATGGTGTTCTCAGAATGTCAGTAATTATCATTCACTAACCACATTTGATTGTCTGTACCTTGGATGTTTTCGGAGCATCAGAACACGGAGACGGTCTTTAGCTTCCTCAATATTAAGCGGAAGCCTCTGAGAAAAACTCTCCTCTTGATCCAACCGTGTGCAAAGATTCTGCAGTTTCATCAGAAGCCCAGATTTGTCTTGTTTCCCAACTGAAACCCAATGTACACCCCCTGGGAAACAACCTAATCAGGAAAAAAAGAATAAATGTATAATTGTAAGGCCTCTGAACACAGCCCTTTCTGAATTGCTTTACTGTTAATTATCAAATTATCAAATGCATGCCAGCCTTCAATCTCCTATCTGGAGTCAAAAAACTAAATCTACTACAAAACTAAATCTAAGAGACACTAAAGATTTAAGTTAGGATGGTATCTAAGGCTTTCAGAGATATTTTTGCTTTAACAAGCAAATTTTCATAATCTTTGTTCCCAGCTGTCTTATAAGAGCCATTTCTCAGTGTCAGTTTTCTCGACGTATGGGACCAAGTTATTCTTTGTTGTGAGGGATTTTCCCATGTATACTAGGATGATTAACAACCTCCTGACCCCTACTCTAGGATTCTAGTAGGATTCTCCCTATCACTACTGTCACCAAAACTATCTCCAAACACTGTGAAATGGCCCTATAGGGGGTGAAAGAAAAATACTAAATTTTTCTGTCATGTACAAAAAGCAGACTTAAATGTACAGGGCTGATGAGATGGCTCAGTGGTAAAGAGACATACCACAAATCTGATGACTTGAGTTCAGTCCTTAACTACAAGGCAGAAAAAGAATAAACTCCTGCAAGCTATCCTCTGACCTCCACAAGCACCATCTCTCTCTCTCTCTCTCTCTCTCTCTCTCTCTCTCACACACACACACACACACACACACACACACACACACAAAGAAATGAAATAATTTTTCAATTCCTTCAATTTGTGTGTGTTGTGTGTATGAAAAACAGAAAGGGAACTAAGAGGAGAAGAGCTCTAAAGAGAGGGAACAGGAAGAATAAAACAGTAATGGAATATATGTGAAGTTAAAAAAAGAAAAAAGAAAAAGAAAGGGGACCCATTCCTTATGGTGAGGTGCACGCTCAGAGGCAGTAGGACCACAATATAATCCTGGTACATGAGCTAGCTTGTTGAAGTCCATTCCCTACGGTGGGATGCCATGCTCAGTCTTAATGCATGGGAGAGGGGCCAGGCCCTGCCCCAACCTATTATAGCAGACTATGTTGACTCTGCATGGGAGCCATGAGGAGGAGTGGACTGGGGATGGGCTGCAGGGGAGGCAAAGGAGGACAGGAGGAGGGGTGGGAGGGAAAACTGTGGTTGGAATGTAAAGTGAAATTTAAAAGAATAAATAAATGACAGAGAGAGAAAGAGAGAGAGAGAGAATACTATTTGGGGAAAACAAGAAGACAAGCAAAGAGACAGAGAGGCTAAGGACAAAGGATGTATGAGAACAAACACAGACTATCAGGATATATACATATGAAAATACACAGTGAAGCTCATTAGTTTGAGCTGGGGCGATGGCGTGGCAGGTAAACATGACTGCTACACAAATCTGACAACCTGAACTTGATCCCTGAAAACACAGAAAGGTGGAAGGAGAGGGTGGATTCCACAAAGCTGTCTTCAGGCCTCCACCTGTGGACTGTGGCACATTTGAACCCCCAAGCACACATGAACACACTAATAAATATTTTTTGTTTTAAATCATAAGGCATAGTAGGCCATACCTTTAATCTAAACTCAAGGTCAGCCTGGTCTACACAGTGAGACTCTGCCTCAAAATAAATAACTCATTAAAAACAATTTTTAGCCAGGCGGTAGTAGTGCATACTTTTAATCCCAGCACTTGGGAGGCAGAGGCAGGTGGATATCTGAGTTCGAGGCCAGCCTGGTCTACAGAGTGAGTTCCAGGACAGCTAGGGCTACACAGAGAAAACCTGTCTTTAAAAAACAAAAGAGAATAATAAGAATAGTAATATTTTTTAAAAGAAGCTCTATTTTGTGTGCTAACTAAAAGACAGGTTTAAAATGAAAAAAGACAAGACTGAAAAGTCTGGTTTAATTGGTGCATATCTTAGGAGACAGACAAGAAATCCTACCCCTTTACTTGCAGAAACTTCCAGAAGTTCTCGGCTATGATGAAACAGTAGGTCCTATAGCTGTGCTCTGTATGTGTATATTTGGAAACACACTGGAAATAGTTTTAAAAATTTACTCCAAGCTGTTAAGCAAGATTTAGAATTTAGGAGACTGGCAAACAAAGAGAGCTTTTATGGGTGCTAGCTAAGCACTTGACCCACTGAGCTAGTGCAGCCATCTTATTGGGTATTTCTGAGACAGCAACCCAGTCTATAGCCCAGGTCAGCCTCAACTACCCAACCCTCTCACCTCAGATCCTGAATACACCTCCACATTTACCTTAGTTTTACTTCTTTCTAAACAAAAAATTCTACTTTTATAATACCTAAGCAAATTTTTAATTATAAAAGGATGTGCTTTCTACTTCGATTTTTAAAAAATTATCCCAGGATTTAAAAAAAGTAAAGTATCTTAATGGAGCGGATAAATTCTTCCCCATTTAAAACCACTTTCCTAGGTTAAAGCAAGCCTTCTTATTCTAAATTTAAAACTACATTTGGGAAGTATAAGCATATGCAAGAAAAAAATAAAAGCCATTTATTTCAAAAAGAAAAGTAGACAAATATATTAAGTGATCAACTAACCTACAAAAATCTACCACTACAGTAAAGCATTTAGTTAAATAATAAACTACATTTTAGCAAGAATCTAAACATCTGAACTATGGGCACAAGAGGGAGCAATTTAGCCTTGAATGAAGTTTATACTTCTAATTCATTCAAAGAAACTTATTCAAAAACTGCCTTTATTCAAAGGAGAAAAAAAGGTCCCAGTCTATTTTCACATAAGGTTTTTCCTGGTAGCAATTAATAATCTAATAGCATCAAGGGAATCTTGAAAAGGACAGAAACAAGTAAGTAGGCAGGCTATGGAGAAAGCTCCCTTATTGTAAAAACACAGCATAGGGCTGGCAAGATGGCTCAGTGTGTAAACACCAAACCTGACAACCTCAGTTCAAACCCTGAAACCCTCATGGCGGAAGGAGAGGACAAATGATCATGGCACACACACATCTGCACACATGCAAATAAAACACACACACACACACACACACACACACACACACACACAATACTGTAATTGTTTTAAAGATACACTGACATTTTCCATGTGTTGTGTGTGTTTGTGTATGAAACAGAGTTAAACTTTCAAAAGAAAACTAGTTTCTTTAAAAATGTATAGACAGGCAGTGAAAATCTGATCACTTGGATCTCACAAAAGTATAGGAGGAATATGAATTAAGTTCACATGTAAGAAAGATTTACCAGTGTATCTGGGATTTTTCAGAGTAAAATGGTTAGGAACTAGGGAGATGGCTCTATCGGTCAAGTGCTACACAAGCATCAAGCAAGGGGACCTAAATTTAATCACTAATTTAATCAATAACACCAATGTTAAAAAAAAAAAAAAGCCAGTTGAGAGAGGATAGAATGGGGCATGCTTAAAAATCTATGGAGAAAAGGAGATCTCTATGACTAAGTGGCCAGCTAGCCTAGCTCAGACATTGAGTTCTAGGTTCAGTGAGACACCCTGTCTCAAATATAAAGCAGAGAACTGAGGAGGATACCTTATGTTGACCTCTGGCCTCTACAAGCGTGCACACACACAGTGGTTATGTTACACAATGTTTTCTGAGCCATTAACCCCCTAAGTTTTTATTCACTTTTAATCCCTAAAATTGAAAGTTCATCATAATACAGAGCAACTTAAAGAAGCTACTCTTTACATATATATTTTAAAGAAACTTTATCATGAAATTGAAATGAAAACTTATTTCTTAACATTAAAAGAACTTAAGCCCATTTTATCCTGAAATATCTTTAGTGACCAATTCTGCAGTAGTTTGCTCAGGGTTTTATTTTACTTTGTTTAGACATGCTCACTGTACAGCCTTGGCTATTCAGGAACTCACTATGTAGATTAGACTGGCCTTCAACTCAGAGATCTATGGACCTCTACCTCCCAAGTGCTGGAATTATGGCATGCACCACCACTTCCAAGCAGCCAAAGAGGTTTTAAAAATCATTCCAAGGTTCTAGAGACTTTCAAAGAGCTAGTAAGTCCCGAGAAACTTTTCTTATAGCAGGAAAAAAAAACCTAAGAGCTAAGACTGGGCATCCTGTCAGAACTGCCATCAATAGTGTTAAGAAAGGGTAAGAAACTAGAAACTAGATCTTTGTGCACAAAGATAGTGCCCTAGGCTCTATCTTTCCAATCTCTTCCAGGCCTATTAAACTGTGTGATGGCTGATTAAGACTTGTATTTCTAAGTGATCACAAAGTCAGAAACCATATCTGGATCCCTACAAGTGTTAACAAATAGAACTCACTGAAAAATAAAGGTACCAGGCTGGAGAAATGGCTCAGCGGTTAAGAACACTGACTGTTCTTCCAGAGGTTCTGAGTTCAATTCACAGCAACCACACAGTGCCTCACAACCACCTTGAATGAGATCTGGTGCCCTCTGCTGGCATGCAGGCACAAGATTGTATACTAAATAAATAAATAAATAAATACTTCTTTGTTTAAAAAAAAAAAATAAAAAAATAAAAAAAATAAATAAAGGTACCAGTGAGACACACAGGCATTTACAGCCAAATCTGGAGGCCTGAGTCTAGATTCCCCGGCCCGGAATCTACATGACGGAAAGAGAGAAGAACCAACTCTCACTGTTCTCTGTCCTTCACACAAGTGTCATGGCATGTGCACTCACATATGAACACACACAAACAGGCACACACGCATAAAAAAATATGTATTTTTAGGAATTATAAAAGAATGGGTGAAGTCAACCACTGGGGCAGTTGTACATTTATTCCTGATGAATAACACGAGAACCTTGCCAAGCATATTTAAAACCCTCTTCTGTCCAGTATGTCTTTTACCTCTCCACTAACCATTCACTGCCCTTCCTACTTCCCTACTCCTCCATCCTTAGTCTGCCTAGCAAACTTTTATTCTTTCTCTAAAATTCAACTAAATGCCATCTCATTGAAGAAACCCACCCTGTTTATCCTCTTCCTCTAGAAGTGAGTACCTTCCTTCTAACTTTGTACCCTGTATTAGTTCCGGATCTCTAGAGGAACAGAACTTATAGAATAAAAATGTATATTTTTTCATTATACAATGGCTGTCTACCAATGGAAGAGCCAAGAATCCTGTAGCTGTTCTGTATGTTGTCTGTCCCCCTACTAGACTATGAATGAATCCCTCAAATGCACAGCCGTCTTTTTTTTGCTCTCCCATGCCCAAAACTGTCAAATATTTACTGTATACATGAATACCTAAGGAAAGGAAAGTCAATCATTGGATGATAAAGCTACCCTTAAAAAAAAAAAAAAAAAAAACTCCACTAGTTGTAGGCAATTCTCGGGTTTCCTTCTTGGGAATACACAAGGTAGATGAGTTAATTTTTATTTTTCATTATTATGTGTATCTGTGGATGTCTGAATGTGGATTTGTGGGTGTGAATGTGGTGCCAAGGAGAAAGTAGAGAGCACCAGATGCCCTGGAGCTGCAGTTACAGGCAATTCTGAGTCACCTGACATGGGTGCTGGGGACTAACCTCAGCTTCTCTGGAAGACCAACAGCCATCTCTCCAGCCCCAGAGTTTTTATTAATGATAAATAATTACAGCTGGGGAATGTAGCTCAGTTAATAGAGTGTTTGGCTAGCAGGCATGAAGCTCTGGGCTCAATTCTTCCCAACCCTGCATAAACCAGATGTGGTGGCATATGCCTGTAGTGTCAGCACTCAAAAGGTAGAATCACACAGAGTTCAGAAATTTAAAGTGATCCTCAAATACATAGAGAATTTAAGACGAGCCTGGGTTACATGAGATCTGTCTCTCCTCTGAACTCCACCCCACCTCACCCCCAAAAGAAAAGGGAAAAAAGATAAGTAACTAACAAATAATTATAGAAAAAGGGGGACTGAGTAGACGGCTCAGAGCTAAAAGCACTTGGTACAGCAGGAGGATCTGAATTCAGAGCCCAAACACCCATGTAAATACTAGGTGGTCCAAGTGACTCCTTTATAACCCCAGCACTCAAGCAGCACAGACAGGATCCCTAGAGCAAGGTGGCTATTTATGCCCACTTAACCAATGAGCTCTGGATTCTAGTCAGAGACCCTGCCTCAAAATATAAAGTAGAGACTGATCAAAGAAAGCAACCAACGTCAATCTCTAGCTTTCACATACATGTATAAACTCAAATGGAGGGGTACACATGCATTATGTACCTACACACACAAACATACATATATACATGCAGCACAAATATAAACATGTGCTGGATAGTTTTATGTCAACTTGATACAAGCTAAAGTCATCCAAGAGGAGGGAACCTCAAGAAAACCACCTGGCGTTGGTAGCACATGCCTTTAATCCCAGCACTCGGGAGGCAGAGGCAAGCGGATCTCTGTGAGTTCGAGGCCAGCCTGGTCTCCAGAGCGAGTGCCAGGATAGGCTCCAAAGCTACACAGAGAAACCCTGTCTTGAAAAACAAGAAAGAAAGAAAGAAAGGAAGGAAGGAAGGAAGGAAGGAAGGAAGGAGAAAAAGAAATGATAAGAAAAGAAAACAGGAAGAAATAAAACTCCATAAGATGGGAATGTAGGCAAGCTTATAGGGCATTTTCTTAATTAGTGATTGATGTGAGAGAGCCCAGCCAATTGTGGGTGGTACCATCCCTGGGCTGATAGTACTGAATTGTATAAGAAAGCAGGCTGAGCAAGTCTCACGATGAGCAACCAGTAAGCAGCACCCTCCATGACCTCTGCATCAGCTCCTGCCTCCAGGATCCTATCCAGTTTGAGTTCTTGTCCTGGCCTCCTTCAATGGTGAACAGTAAATGTAAGCCAAATAACCCCTTCCTCCCAAAGCTGCTTTTGGCCATGGTGTTTCATCACAGCAGTAGTAACCCTAACTAGGACAATGCATGAAAAGAAAAAGGAAAAATAAATAATTATAGAAATGGAAGAACAGGTGAGAGAGATCAGAAGGTAAAGGTGCTTGCTGCCAAACTTAAGGACTTGAGTTTGATCCTGGGAACCGATATGGTGTGATTCCCACAAAGTATCCTCAGGCTTCCAAATACGTGCTGTGGCACACACCCATATGTTTTTGCACACACATATACATAACACAATTTTTATTTTTTTAATAAATGGAATTAACTGTTTAAATTAATACAGACTACCAAATACATGTGAAAAGTATTCACCAGGAAAGTCACTGACAGAAATGAGTTTCTAAGACACTCTTCCCCTACAGCACTGCATGTCAGAATAAAAGGTGCTAAGTATATTCCTGCCTGAAAGGACAAACCTTTCTCAATCCTACAACCCATTACCATTACGATGCTAGAAAACTAGTTATTCCAGTGACACTGTATCTTCTGACGCCATTGGGAGACAAGCAAGCTGCACAAACCTAATTTCATACTCCCATGTTAGGTAAAATCATGGTCCCCTAAAGATGTCCACAAAATGGTAAATATTTTACTGTACAGACTAAAATAGAGTTAGCGAGTCTGATAATTAAGGATTTGGGGTGAAATTATCCTGGATTATATAGTAAACCCAGTATGATCACAGGACCTTCATAAAGAGGGGAGCAAGAAAGTCAGAAAACAAGGTGGTCAGGAGGTGGTGGTGAACATCTTTAATCCCAGCACTCGGGAGGCAGACAGGTAGATCTCTTCAGGTTAACAGCTAGCCTGGTCTACATAGCAAGTTCCAGGACAGCCAGGGCTCTGTAGAGAGACCCTGTCTCATAACAAACAAACAAAAAGAATGGGCTGTAGTAGTGCCTGCCTTTAATCCCAGCACGTGAGAGGCAGAGGCAGGTAGATCTCTGTGAGTTCAAGGCCAGCCTGATCTACAGAGTGAGTTCCAGGACAGGCAGGGCTACATAGAGAAAAGCTGTCTCAAAAGAAAAAAGAAATGTGAGGAAGAGGAACAAGAGATGTAACTCAATAATAGAATGTCTGCCTAGCATGTGAGGGGCCCTGGATTTGATCCCTAGCAGCTATGACCCACCCTCAAAAACACAGAAGAAACGGAAGACAAAAGCAAAGCAATATCAAAGAGATACAGGCAAAAGAGAAAGACTTGATGCTATGCACTACTGGTTTTGAAGATGAACTGTGAAGTAAGGGAATGTAGGCTAAATAGAAAAATCAAGGACAGAAATTTTCCCAAGTGCTTCCAAAAGGAATTCAGTCCTAACACTTTGATTCCAACCTAGTTTAAAAGAAAGAAGAAAAGAAACTTAAGACAAGAAATGCATGTTATTGAAAGTCACTAAATTTGTGGTAATTTGTTAGCAGCAGCAACAGGAAAGCCTAAAAGCAACAATAACTAAAGGACTCCAGTGTTCAAATAAAACAAAATCTTGAAAAACAGTGTTGCAGTATCAGACGTACCTTCTAAGAGGGAATGATCTCGAACAGCTTCCGCAGCTAATACAGACTTCCCACAGCCTGCCATTCCATATATGGTGACCCACCCTGCTTCACCATTCAATTTCCAGAGCTTCTGTTGAATTGCATTTACCAGCTTCTTTCTAGTAACGAAAACAACTGGCCGCTGTGGTACTCCACCTTCACACAGCACAGTCCTTACTGAAATCCAAAACAAGAATAAATGAACAAAACTTCAAAGAGACTACTTTTGAGTAATCCTGTAAAAACCCAGATAATCAAGAATGATGCTTAGCCTCAAAATTCCCAAGACAAATATCAAAATATGATTAGAATATGAACTTTACCCTTCCCATGTCTCATAACACAAAGAACAAGAGTAAGCATATATTCTTCAAGGTCACTGCACACAATGGAAGTGTACATCTATCCCCACCTTATACACACTATTATTCCCTGATCCTCTAGCCTCTTTTATCTATATTGAATACTGGGAAAGATCAAGGGTATAGAGTTCACTCTCTGAGTTTGCTTATTATGTGCAAGGTCAAGGTTGTGGGTTTGACCCCAAGCACCACAAAAAAGAAAACGGGGAAAGGATTAGGGCAACAAAATGTTTCAATGGGCAAAGGCACTTGCTGCTAAGTCTGATGAACTGAGTTCAACTCCTGCAAGTTGTTCTCTGACCTCTTCTTGGGCCTCATACCCCTATACCTCACACTATAAATAAATGTGTAAAAAAAACAAAAAAGCAGGGCTGGAGAGATGGCTCAGAGGTTAAGAGCAATGACTGCTCTTCCAGTGGTCCTGAGTTCAATTCCCAGCAACCCCATGGTGGCTCACAACCATCCGTTATGAGATCTGGTGCCCTCTTCTGGTGTGCAGATATATATGGAAGCAGAATGTTGTATACATAATAAATAAATAAAATCTTAAAAAGAAAAAAACCCTAAAAAAAAAAAAAAAAAAGCAAAACCCTTTTTAACACTGGAAAGAATATAGAGGGAACAATGTTTCTGGAGTTCCTTTCAAGAACATAGACTTCTGGGCTAGAGAGATAGTGGCTAATAGCACTGGCTGTTCTTCTCGAGGACCTGGATTCCATTCCCAGTACCCACATGGCAGCTCACAACTGTCTGTAACTCTAGTTCTAGAAGATCCAGTGCCCACTTCTGGCCTCTAAGGATACTAGGAATACACATGGTATACAGCATACATGCTGGTAAATATGCAGACACACAAGATGAAAGTTTAAAAAAAAAAAATTTACATTTCTAAAAAGTTCTTTTCCTGTCCTATAAACTCTCTATATAACACACAAATAAAGAAAATAATTAAGGCCCTACAAATGTTCTTAATAGCTCTAAAATTTAGAGTTCATATGCTACTACCTCATCAGTAAGCAGTTCACTGGACAAGAAAAATGTATAACATGAACACAAATAAATACTCAGACTTGAACTTAAAATATTTTTTGCACATTCATCCTTCAATGAACTGAAATACACTTTCCAGCTGTTTAACTACAATCAGACCTGCAAGCAATATAGCCATGATGATGACAATGTGACACAAGTTATCAGGGATACAAACCAAATGAAGTTATTCCACCATCTGTGTCTTTGCCACTGGAAGAAGAAAGGAGTGGAAGGCCACTATGAAGAAGGGCAGCAAGGTCTTTATATCCCTCATGTAGCAGAGCATTGTAGAATGAAATGTAGGCACAATTATCTTTATTAAGTATCATCTTAATTAAAATAGCTGCTCGTTGATATTGAGTGGTCTGAAAAAAAATAAAACTGTAAAAATATAGCAGGGAATATATTTGCAGCACAGATTAGTGGAGACCGTTGCAAGTTCTGAGAGTACTGGGAATTTTAAAGAAGCACAGAAGGCCGAGGGCTTCACCTGACTTCTCACTTTTTCCTCCTCTGCTACCGTTAAAACGCTGTCACTGATCATGTGGTCCATGATGTAGGATGTTTTGATGTCCTTTTCCAGAGCTTCTCTATGCTGAAGCAAACAATTCCGGGCCTTTGCATCCATTGTCCTTCAGGTTTTTTCTCTCTTCACTGTCAAACATGAGCTACAGGCAAAGTGTCAACATATTTGTCATGACAAGGAATCAAGAAATATGGAAAAAAAAAAGATTTATTCATTTGTTTGTTTGTTTATTTATTTATTTATTTTTGCTTTTCAAGACAAGTTTTCTCTGTGTAGCCTTGGTTGTCCTGGAACTCACTCTGTAGACCAGGCTGGCCTCAAACTCAGGGATCTCAGAGATCCACCTGCCTCTACTTTTCAAGTGCTAAGATTAAAGGTGTTTGCCACCATCACCCGGCTTATTATTTTTAACTATGTTTATATTTAAAATGGAATACTACATAGCCATTTAAAATTAGACAGCACATATCTCTATGCAGTGTATATACTGACAAGGAAAGGTGTCTCTGACACTGCTGATTTCAAAAAGAAACAGAACCCCAAATAAGACAAAATGTGTTATATCTCAAAAATGTATAAGAATATGCTTAAAGTTTGTTTATCAAAGTGTTTGGAAGACTGAGTAGCAAGATTTCAACTTTCTTCTTTTGCAATTTTATAGTGTCCTTTTTTTTTACAGTAAAAATTCTTCCTTTTGTTAAGTTAAAGTTCTGAAAAAGTTACCATACCTAATTCCTCATGTTTTAAAACTTGTTTGCTTTATCCAACCTACAACCGAGTGGAATTGCTGATTGAGTTCTCAAAGTAGATGTCAGCCCCAGATCTTCATTAGTAAGCACATACTCACAGAGCCACAGGAAATACCCTCTGATGTCATTTCTTGGACTACAGTAACAAAGAATAATATTCTTTACAGAAAGATATTTTCATTTCTTAACAACTTCCCTAAAATATAGTGAAAATTATTCCATGAAAATCCAGTTCTGAATGGGTTTCCATGAAACCCAAGTTCGAAAAACATCTAACAGAATTCCATCCAATGTATTAAAAGTGTGAATGTCTTAGTCTTAAACATTCCTTCAATACATGAATACATGGTGTGTGTGTGTGTGTGTGTGTGTGTGTGTGTGTGTGTGCGTGTTGCTGGGGACTTCACCCACTGACTTTTTTTTTTTTTTTTTTTTTTGGTTTTTCCAGACGGGGTTTTTCTGTGTATCTTTGGAGCCTATCCTGGCACTCGCTCTGGAGACCAGACTGCCTCGAACTCACAGAGATCCGTCTGCCTCTGCCTCCCGAGTGCTGGGATTAAAGGCGTGTGCCACCAACGCCCGGCACCCACAACCTTATTTTGCATGGTGGGCAAACAGTCTACTACTATTGCTACAGAATTCCAGCCCTCTTTCAATAAATATGGAGCCCTTCCTGAGACTATAGAAGATTAACTCATCCCTGAAGGAATTTACAGTCTAGTAGAACAAAAAGAGAGGTAATCAGAATATGACTGTCCTAAATGCAAAACCAGATATAGGCACAGAGTAATTAGAAAGCTCTGCAGAAGGGTATCATTCAATTTAAAAAAAAAAATCCTTTTATTTAAAGTCATCAAATGCAGCACTTGTAAAAATAAGAAAGGCACCTGCTTGTGCTTGTCAAGGTTCACAAAAAGGAGTGGAATGAAAATAACTGAAGAAACCAACAAAAGAAAAAGAATTAGAAACAAGACTATCAGTTTCAATGTTAACATTTTTAGTCTCAACTGACAGTTGTGAAATTCATTCTGACAAAGGGTATTAGGTTATGTCTAACAGTTAAGCAAAACCACACTTCGGCAACTAATTTCCAATTTTCTCTAACTTTATTAAACTCAAATATGTAAATCTTAAACACGTTTTTCAAACTTTACACAAACTGAAATGCTATGGGCAAAATTCCCAGTGCCACACCTCTTGAGGCCACATCAAAAGAGAAAGTCAAACTGTTCGGAGATACAGAACACAAAATAAAGGCTGTCTGTCTAGGAAAACAGCAATAGTGGTCTACTTCCTCCTTTGATAATTTCTCTTCCTGGTACAGGACCAGGATGGTTATCAAATATCCCAAGTCCCCTGATCTTCAGTCCCTGAGATCTACAACAGAACTAGCAAAGAAACTGTCTGAGGGGGTGGGGAGGAGTGAGGGGAAGAGTGTAAACTTACCCAAGCCTTGGCACCGGGGTTGTTGTGCAGGGACGAGTAGCCCCGGGTGGGTCAGAGCTGATAATCGCTCGCCTTAGGCAGTCCGGGCTCCTCTTCCAGAGGCCCCGCGCCCCGGGCAGGTCCTGATACCTCAGGTTCCTCACCTGGGCATCGGCCGCTCGGGGCGCAGGGGGATGCCCGGGACTTCCGAGGGGTGGCGAAAAGGTGCTCACCTCGGCGGGCTGACCCCACC